TACTGAAAAGGTGAAGATAAGATTTTAATGAATCACTCTGCAATTCACCAACTCGAACTCAAGTGACTTACCTTTCCGCTACCTTCTGCCGCTGCTGTTGACGTCGTAGCTGCTTGCGAGGACCTGGAAGTCCTGGACAACAAGCCAAGTTACTGCGCCATTGCTGCTATCTGCTAACCGCTGGATGGAGGTTTTAGCAGCCGACAATGCCTTCATGGCAGATCGAACAGAAGGCACCAACTTTTCAGTGTTTCTTCCTTAAGCACTCTTTCGATAAGCTTGTCCCCGCATGGGAGCGCACCGACAGCCACAACGCCGTACCTGGCGTCTTGGTTGAGAGTGACATCGAACAACTTACGACAGAAATCTAAACTTGTGTCTCCGTCATTCCAGCTACCAGGACGTTCTGCGTGCGTCTGAGAGGGCAGGATTTCGAGTGCGTGGGACACACGTGTTTGTGTGACCCACACACAGTGCGCCTCACCCGGATGATGAGGTCTGCGGAGAAGCACAATATCTATTGCACGTTCTGTCGCGGTAACAAAGACATCGCACAACGATCCGGTGTATCGCGTATTTTGTAGACCGTCATCAGCGGTTTTTTTTTTTTTTTAAGTTGAGGTGTATTGTTTACTGGCAAAATCCTGAACCCTAATAACAATTCCCAAGAGATAATTAAGCTCCCTTTTGAGTTTGCGCTACTCCTGTCACCCTCTGCGCCCACACCTCTGATTCTTCTCCTACACTCTTTCTTGATGCTGTCTCTCCATCCATCTTCTGACAGCCCCTGTCATGAGTTCCGCCGCGGTGAGCCACAACTCGTGGTCATTCGTAGCCACCTCACTCTGCGTGCTGCTGCACCTGCGGTCCATCGCAAAACTTACCAACTAATGCAATAGCTTGTTGAGTTGTCTATAACGATGATTCTAGCTTTTGACCGGACAATGGTCTGTCAGTTTCCTCGAAAGTCGATACCAGTGCTTCAGGTGTTTCGCCACCGGCTGTCTGTGTCTCTTCATCATTCGAGTACCAACGCACTATCCCCTTCTACTACATACAGTCTTTATCAACGGGTTCTTGGACCTGGACAGGAACTCATATAGCCAACAAAAAATTGAATAAAATAAATAATACTGGAGCCAAAGAAAAATATTACTTTGTACTTCTTTCCATTCAAGCAGCCCCACGCGAACTGCAGTAGCAGTTGCCGGCGAGCTACGGGGCGCGCGAGCGCCTACTGACGAGATGGAGTTGGCCAGGCGATACGAGCTGGTGCAAAACCGTCCAGAGCCTCCCCTTCTGCATTCAGCACATGCGCCAATGTCGAAGGAGGCATTTAAAATTATCTGCAGAGAGACCCTCTCTGTATCGATGCCTTGTAAAAAGCAAGCGGCAGACCGGGTGGCGCTACTGCAGCCGGCACGGACGACTACTCTTTCAACCGTTCCGAGTAATCTGGTAGCACGGAGTGAGCCGCTTCGGCAAGGCCACGAAAGATTCACTAAAGAAAGTAAGGGCAGTAGTTACATAACGATTGACAAACACGACGATATTGAAGTTACACTTACATTCCACTTCAAACTAGTTGTCACCAAAAGTTATTGTCGGTACCTCGCTGCCACGTGTCCATCCAGGGCGCATCGATGGGGCCCTTCAAGACGTCCAGCGTCACATAGTGGCGCATTCTAATTAGCCTCTATCACTATACTTGATCATCGCCGGATTCATAAGCGTTCAGAGGCCCCGCAAGGTCTAAGACGACTCGCGCCGCGCGCTCGATCTCGGAGCTAAGTAGAAGAAACAACGCCTCAATGTTCATTCAGCTGTCCAAGCTGGGGACTTACGGGTCTACCGATGAAGACGGTACATGTTCCGCTCTCTATTGTCACACCATGTCTGACTAACAACCTGAGCGTCGTTAGTAGTATAATTTTTCTGAGGTAAGTTCCCGCCTTCGCGTTTTGAAGTCCAAAGTAAGGCGGGTCGGGGAGCCGCATGCGTACCGCGATACGGTAGGCGATAATTGCTCAACACCACCGAGCGACACAAGCAAGTTTCACCCCCGACGCAATTTGTCTTTCTATCTCGGCAACTCACCACACCGGTAGCCTGAGGTCTACAAGGTGAAGTCTGCGTTCCCTTGAGGCGGATATTATTGACGCGTTTAAACAGCCAAGCACACTAAACAACTTGTAAGATGTCATAAACCGTACTAA